AAAATTAGTGCACAAGTCACGTCATTACTGTCCAAACTCCATATTAAAGCAGTCATATTTAAATATATATATACACACACCTCGTAAAAGAAAATTAAACAAATTAGTCAAACATAACAATTCAAATTGAAAAAAAAATGAAAGTAAAGTTTGATTAAAAGTGATTTAGTATAAAAATGAATTTTGTCATGGATTTATCAATATTCAATACCCAACCAACCCAATTTGGTGGGGGTAATTCACATACCGTCTTGGCCCAAACCATATATGGCTCATGTATTCTTGGCCCTTTAATCTAAAAATTCTGGCTAGCTAGCTAAATAGCGTGACTAAACAATAAGTAATAGGTAAGAATAATGTTTTTCTTTTTCATTTTCTCATCAAGTATAGTGAATGGTGATTAGATAGTTAAATTTACTGCATTTGATGTGGTAGATCTAATTTTGAAAGCAAAAAAAACCACCATGATAGTTCCTCCACCACCCCTTGTTCACCCACCCAGATCCCTTCCACCTGCCTTATCTAAATCACCCCTCACCACAGAAAAACCACCACGCCACCCATCTTCCTCCTCATCCAAGACTTTATTCAATCAGCGCCCCTCATCCAAACCACCTGCCATTTCTAAAACCAATTCTTTTACCAAACCCACATCCACACATGTCTCTCCTGACTACCGTCCCAGATCACCCAGTGTCACGGCATCCACCATGGACAAGATCAGGAGAGCATTGCAGAATGACCGAATCCTTAATCCCAGCAACAAAAACATTTCTGAGGTTACCTACTTACCTGAGGGGGTTCAAGCCGAAATTATGGACGCATCCAAGGTCGAAGAAAAAACTGGGGGCTGCGGAGCAGGAGCTTTCCAGTCTCAAAGCCTCTAACCCTCTTTCCATTCCGGATAATGAGGACACCATACCCATCGCTCGGGATGATCTTGTGAACCTTAGGGACAAGGCAACCCAATACCACACTGAACTCATCAACAAGCTCTTGTCGAATCCAACCACCGGTGGGAATGGCTCCGACCACCAACAGGGAATTCAAATTTCAAATTCAAACAAGCAGCTGTCACATCATTCTGGAGAAAAAGGCACTGATTTTAAGCCAAGGTTAATTGGGAAGCATGCTGTCAACCTAAAGAGTGTGGGGGGCCTTGGGTTCAGAGGGCTTGAGGTTAGAAACAGATGTTTCTGGAAGATTAATATCCCACAGTCCTGCTCTAGTAATTGGAAAAGAATCCTTCAGCTTCGTGGCCTAGCCAGATCTATGATTATGACGAAAGTTGGTAATGGAGCATCTACCTATTTTTGGGAGGACAATTGGCTACAAGGAGGACCTCTATCCTTAAGAGTATCATATGACTTCATTGCACACTCTTAAATCTCACCTGATGCAAAATTGAGTCAGTTTATCCAAGATGGGCAATGGAATTTCCCAGAGCTCCTTACTAATCATTTTCCCGAGCTAGCCAACATTGCACCACCGATTCTGTCTGCTGATCGCTCTATTTGGATCCCATCACCATCGGGTATTTTCTCACTGACCCATACAATGGGATGGCTTGAAACTCGGAGACAGGCAAAACCATGGACTCACCTAATCTGGAATCCCTTTTCAATACCAAGATGCAAATTCTCTTTCTGGCTTGCGGTGCAAACTAGGGTACCCACTCTTGATCGAAGCAGCATGAGTTCCTTCTCTGGAGCCAGAAGTTGTTGTCTCTGTAACTTAGTTGATGAATCGCACAGCCATCTTTTCTTTGCGTGCTCCTTTAGCAGGCCAATATGGATTGCTCTCCAGCGAAAATGCAGATTCCGCTTGCCCCCGGGTAGATTTTGTTGAACGTCCATCACATCGCTGGGCACGCAGAGATCTGAGATCCTCGGTGAACAAACTTATGCTCTCCACAGCCATCAACAGGATCTGGCAGGAACGTAATAATAGAATCTTCACCAATCAGAAATCCACGCAGAACATGGTGTTTAGACAAATTGTTGATATGGTACGATTGAAATTACTCACCGTCACAGTCAAAGATTCCTCTTTTGCTCGGCGGCTGCAACTGGACTGGGAATTGCCGTCATTTATCAGGCCACCGCCTGAACCGCCGGATTGTGTCACTTAGGGTTCGCGTCCCTCTGTTCTAACCGGAAGTTTGTATAATTCAGACACGCATATAGTCTAGGGTTCTCTAGACTGGGCCGATCTATAGTCTAGGGCTTAGCCTGTTTTGCTTTGTTGGGTTCTTTAATCTTTGATGGTTTAGGCAGTCCATTATTCGTGGGCTTCCCTTTCAAGGCGATGCCTTGTATATTTGTATTCCTCTTTTTTAAATGAAACTTGCTTACTTTACCAAAAAAAAAAATGAATAATGTTTTAGTAACCGAACATATATCACTGACTGGAGATCCAAACGCTTCCATCCTATGGATGGTTAAGGTGAGATTCTCACTTCCACTCCAAGTATTCATCGGATTCGGTTATATATATTCAGTCAAAGCATCACTGGATTCGGTTATATATATTCAGTCAAAGCATCACTGCTCAATCAGTATATTTATGTATGATTAGATAATGCTATCTTTTTAACACTATCAGTAAAGATACGTGGGTCTAGTGGTATTTCCCTTCCTTTCATAGCTTGTTAAAAATTATAAAAAAAATCTGTTTTCCATTACAACAAGTCAATTTTATTCTTTTATCACGTTAATTATTCTTCCTGAATTTGCATTCATTTTATTTTTTCTCTTTTGTTATGTCTATGTAGCATACTTAAAATTCAGGGTGTTCTGTGAGGCTGTGAATGAATAATATTTAATAAAATATTATTTGGCCATTTGTCTACAAAATTTGAGATGACTTGTCGATTAATTGGTCAACAAGTCAATTTTATTATTTTATCACGTTAAAATTAATTGGTGTGAATTCACAAATAGGATGGTGAAATAGTTTCAATATCACTTTTTTTTTTTTTTTTAGGAGAAAATTTGACAAATTAATTTACAAATTTATACGTATCTAATAACTAAAATACAATAAGTAATTGGGAATTATTCTGTTTGCATTTTAACGGAAAGGCCCATTGGTATTTACCATTCTATATCAAAAAGGTTTATAACCCATATAAGTATAAGTTTGGCCCAACTCTAATAACTTCATTTACAAGCCCAAAAAAGAGTTGAAAATTCATAGGGTTGTAAACCTTGTTTAAGCCCAAAACCGTCTAAACGAGAACCTTTCCACCCCATTTCCTTCCCGTTTACTTTCAGAATTTTTCCTTTTATTTTAATTTTTTCCCTTAAATATAATTATATAATTATTAAAAAAATTATAAAAAATGAACAATTAATAATTTAACATAAAATTCAACAATATAAGTGTTCTTAGTTTGTAGGGTTCTACCGCTCACTAGAACGGTTGAGAAAATGAGTGAATGTGACTTGCATGTAGCTTGAAATTTGCAAAGTTAACTATATACACTAATAAAATAAAAATAATTTAATAATTTACTTACCGGGGTGGCGGGGTTGGGTGACCCCATCCTTACCCCAAACCTGTGTAAGGACCTTCAATATGCCCTATGTCACTGTTCATCTTCTTCGTCACACGGCCCTAAATAATGTGCAAGACCCGATTATTCTAAACACAATTACAGGAGCCGCAAGACCCAATCACAAAACCCTTACACCAATCGTAGCCTAAACACCCAACCCATCTACAAAACTTAACCAACAACAACCCCTTCACCAGAATCGCAACATTGTCACTTCCTTATTGTCATAGTCCTTGCTCGCACTCCGTCGCCACCGATCCGTTTCTCATCATCGATTCAATTCCTGTGCTCATCGGTATTTTCCATGTCTTGTCTGTTCAGTCCGTGCCTTGCCTGTTCATTGGTAGTAGTTCAAACCTGTGTCCTCACCAGTAAATTTCGTAGTTGTAGTTTATACCCGTGTGCTCGCCGATTCACACCGTAGTCATTGCTCAGTTTAAACCTGCGTGCTCGCCGGTAAGTTCAATGCATCGCCGTCATCGCATTCTCGTAAGCCCTTTCTTCATCGTCAATCCCTCCTGGCATATCACAAGCCTCATCGTCGTTCACTCATCCTTGCATCGCCTGGTTGTTTTGTCACTAGCACATCATTAAGTTACTAGAGCGGAGTCTGTCTTCGGGTTATAGCATATTATTGGGATGGCAATTTGACCCGTCCCCGCGGTTACCTACCCACCCCTGCCCAGTTTTTGGCAGTTTTGAGGAACCGTTTTACTTATTTGGGTGGGGATGGTTTGATATAATAAAAACTCGTACGGATTTGGTGCGGGGGCGGGGGGAGGTCGCCCCGCAACTCCCCGCCTCATTTAGATAAGTAAATTACTTAAGTACCCTTATTTCATTAATATTTATATTTCTTACTATATATTAATTACCTCATATAACAATATTAAAGTAACAAATGAATTTTATTAAAAGGAAAGTTGCAATGATGAAGAATTGAAAATGAGGGAAAAAAAAAAAGAAGAGCAAATTCATTTCAACAATAATTAAATTATGGTCTTAAACGGGACGGGGCAGGTACCCGTGGGGGTAAAAATATTAAACGGTTACTGGAATGGGGTGAAAAGTTCTTTCGTTTTTACCATTTTAGGCGAAGATGAGGGTGGGATTTTTAAACTGTTGCGGGGGCGGGAGAGGGTACACCCGCCCTGTTGCCATCCCTAAGAGAGTAGAGAGAGAAAATGTAGAGAGAGAAAGTGCATTGTGTGTAATTTTTATCTCAGGGCTAAATGATAATTTTATCTTCCAGTTTGTCACTAAATGCAACAAGGTAATAATTTAAGAAGAGTTCAGTGCACTTAACCCTAATTCATATACCCCCATCACCCAAATAAGATTTGATCTCTACCATTAGATTGAAAAGCATCTCAACCGTTGGTTCGATATAGTTGAGACATAATAATTAACCCCACGAGGCTAGAAGTATCGAAATAGAAAGCATAATACAGCTCTCAACTCTCTCTCTCTTTCAAGGATCTGAAGGCGCAACACTTGCAAGATCTGAAATACGAATCTAACAAAGATTTTGTAAGTTTTGATTTCATCACGAAAATCTATTCTGTAAATGTTCTTTTTTGCTCTTGTCAGGGACAAAAGATCGTATTTCGTGATCTTACAATTTCATTGATTTTATTTAATTTTAGAATTAGGTTTCTTTTATAATTTTTTGTAAAGAATTTTCATAATAATACATTTGAAACTTGCCAAGATTGGGTCATTTGTACCTTCCAACACTCTGAAAAGAAGATAAAGTATGCACCAATCCGGTGCCCAACTTCTGTTTTTTTTTTTTTTTTTTTTTTTTTTTTTTTTTTATATCATGATGTTAGCCTACTAGTTAGCCCAGAATATATATGACTTTACTTTTTCTTAGCAAAACCCGTGATTATTCTTTTTTTTTTTTTCTTTTTTCTTTTTCTTTCTAAAAAAGCAAGCGGTGATTTTTATATTATTTTCTAAAAAAAGGGTAGATTTTTTTTTTTTTTAGAATCAGCTTTCTTTTACTGAGTATAATTTTCTGGAGAGAGTTTTCTTTGTATATAATTTTTACTTCTCCAGAGTTTTTGTTTATAAAAACATTGAACCAAACATGATTTTTATTCAGCGTACTAGCTAGATCTATTGGTCAAAACTGAAACAATTATCAACCAGAAGCCTAGTTAGATAGATTTATTGGTGTGAAACAATTATGACCTAAGTAATGGACTTATATATCATTTTTTTTTTCAAATATGCCTGCAGCAATGCCGTTGATTATTTTATTATCTTTTCTATTTTTCTCTAAAAAAAAAGACCGGACCAGGCCTATGACATTGAATCTCGGTCAATGGTTACTTTTCCAAATATCAAGTTGCCTTAAACCATTATCAAATTAAAATTATTACTATTATTTTTTTAAGGTTAAACCAGTAACAATTTCCTAATCCTAGTAAGAAACATATTATTACTAATTTCCAAGTACAAACCCAATTCAACGCTCTTCTCTATATAAAATTGTTGTTCTCGTTTTCTCTGTGCTTGTTTGTTTATACACAAAATTGCTCTCTTTTTCTCTCTTGTTTTTTTTTTTGTTTTGGGTTTACATCTCTGATCTGTTCATCTTCTCCTCTTGCTCTCTCTTGGATCTGCACACTTATTTTTTAAATTATACAAAAAAATAAATAAATAAATAAATAAATAAATAAAAACTGTAAAAGCAATTTCCATGGAGAAAACCACTGGACCCACCTCAATGTGTTGTCCTGAAAACGCAAGGTACTATCTTTTTTACTTACGTGTGGATTTATTATGTGGTGTTTCTATTATCACACTTTCTTAATTATTATTATTTTTTTATCTTTAATTGCAATAGTGAGAAGGTCAATAAAGGAGGGTTGTGTTTGGAGGATTGCATTAGTGGACTTCCCGATGTCGTACTTGTTTCAATATTGTCACTATTGACAATGAAAGAAGCTGGAAGAACTAGTCTCCTATCAAAGAGATGGAGGTACACCTGGACACACATTACTCGTTTGAACTTTGATTCCTCACTTTGATTCCTCACGTATAATCGAAGGAATCCAATTGGAACAAAAGGAAGTTGAAGTAGAAAGGCCATTGTATTTGAGTTGGGTTAATCAAGTCTTGAAATCCCCCAAAGCTCCAACTATAGATGAATTCAGAATTCAATTTGATTTAACATAATTATCAATCTGTTTTACATTTGCTTTGATTTATTCAGGTTTATCTTAATAGGGCTAAATTTCCCGTATTTAATAAACTCAAGCGACTGAAGTTGATAATTGATGCAAGAGATGAAGAAAGCCTTGTGGGTTTTGCTTCTCTGATAGAGGCATGTCCTTTCTTGTCTAAATTTGTGTTGGAGGTAAAAAGTTTTACTTTACAACATGCATTTCTAAACTGTGAGGTTTATTGCTTTCGTAATTGAATTTTCAAATGGGAATTTTGATTAATTTGGTCTTCTTCTGGAGTTGCCTTTGGTAATTGCTTCTTTATAGCTATTACAAAATTACAATATTACCCGTGAGAGGAAAAAATTTTCTGATTGTTCAAGTATTTTCTAAATGAATATTTATCATTTTGTTGTTCCCTTGCTTTTTGAGTTTTACATGGTACGTTCTTCAATTGCTTTATTTTCATGATTGTTCAAGAACTCCTCCCAGCGTAAGACCTCTTGAGCTTTCTGACCTTCTTTGGTTAGATTTAGTCTTATTGTTTTTCAGAACAGTTTGAATTCATTTCTAATGCAGTGTTTTCTTATGTATAACGTGTTCGATTTCGCCTGTGGTGGTTGTTCCATTAAGTGTTTAGCGTGCTTTATTCTTCTGATTGTTCAACTATTTTCTAAATGAATATTATCATTTTGTTGTTCTCGTGTTGGTTTAATATTTACTTCCTTGGAGTTTTACATGGTCTTTTAATACGATGCACATTCTTAGATTGCTTTTATCCTCGTGATGGTTCAAGGACTCCTCCAAGAGTTGGACGTCTTGAGGTCTCTGACCTTATTCCATTAGATTTAGTCTTGTTGCTTTTCAGAACAGTGTGAATTCATTTATAACACATTGTTTTCTTATGTCTAACGTGTTCGCCAGTGGTGGTTATTCCATCAGGTCTGGCAATTTTGTGATTTTAACTTTTACAGTTATGATTTGATGCTTGGTAATTTGGTTTTGTATGCTAATGGTCTTCAGTCATATGTATAACAACAACATGTGTTAGATTTCTTTGGAGCCTGTGGTGGCTATTCCATTGATTCTAGCAATGTTGTGATTTTAACTTGAACAATTATGATGGTAATTTGATTTTGTATGCTAATAGTCTGCCCGCCATATGACTCCATTCCTCCTTGTTACAGCTGCGAGTCGTATGGGAAAATAAAACAAGGGAAGTTTACATCTCGGCCCCATCATTACCTTAAGGAGGTGGAACTAATTGGTTTTGTTGGGAGTATAAATGATGTTGAGCTTGCCATGTATTTAATTAAGAGTGGTGTGAATCTTGAGAAGTTTACTTTTGATCCTCGCTATCCATATCATATAGGAACTGTTTGGGAGTTCATGGAGACCAAGAGGAAAAAAGCAGCGAGAAAGAGGACCAAGAAGCTTGGAAAGAAACTTCCTGTTGGAGCAGATTTGATAAATCCTTTAATTATATCATGTTTGTATAAGTTATCCTTGGGAAAAGGCCATGTACATATATGGAAAGTTATATGCACCAGAAACAGTCACGCTTTTAATCAGGTACCTGGTCTGCATTTGGAGGATACACTCTTTCGCTTCATTTTTAATGCAATTCATCTATAGCTATTTACATGCACCAAACAAATCCCTACAGGTCAAGAAGTTATTTTTAAAATTTTACCTAAAAAAAAAGTTATTTAAAAAAAAAAATTCCTAGATACTCACACCCTCTTGCAAGTAATTGTTTAGAATTTTAGGCTGTCGGGTCGGTCGGGTCGGGTTGGGCGTAAAAAACCCTACCCACCTTCTTATAGAACCAAGTCGAACCTAGGGCATTTCTGCACTCTTATTTGTACCTGAATTTTTGTATTTACTTGTACGTAAAATAAATTTAATATGCATCATTTACTTCTCAGTAGCAAAATTTTGTTGGTAGGTACTAAGGGTGCGCACAAATCAGATTGATTGATTTTAACAAATTCATAAAAATTAAAACCAACTTGAATTGACGGACCGACTCGATCGATCAAAATATCATACCATATTGAATTGGTTCTGCGAATTGAATTTTTCTAGGCAGTCTAATATTTATTTATTTATTATTATTTTTTTTACCACAACCCAATTATAACCAAACCAAGCCCGATTTACAAATTACGGAGTTATTAAAAAAATAATCATACTAACACCATTAACTGGCAGGCCCCACCTGGTGTTGGATTAATTGCAGCTGAGTAGATTTTGGTTCCTTGAAGTGATTTGGACCCAACCATATGGGCCAAAGAGAAGAGGCCCAGAAGTTGCACACGTGTGGATGTATGAGTCGAGTGTGACTATCGCGCGTGTGAGTAAGAGATGGCAGAGCCAATGTAGAGAGAAGTTGCGAGAAAGAAAATGCGGACCTCAGTAATAGCGTATGGTTGCCGCTATTGTGCGCCTTTAAAGCCCCACTTGTTAAACTTCACTCTCCACCGTCGTCTCCCTCTTCCACCACCACCTCTCGCCGCCTTCTCGGCCAAATTCTCTTCCTGCAGTCTTCATAACCCTAAACTCTTCACGGGAAACTCTCTGTTCCTCAGGATGGAGGTAGATTCTCTCATTCTCTCTCTGTCTTTCTCTTTCTATATATTACACGTGTATATATATTTATATTTCTGCATGTATATATGCATATTTATTTATTTATTTGTGTTTTTTCATTATTCCTTTGTATCTGTGTGGATTTTGTTGATTTCGGGACTATAAAATTGGTAAGGATGTTTGGTTTTGTTGGAACTTGTTACGAATTATATATATATGTGTGTGTGTGTGTGTGGATTCAGTTGGTTTCTGGACTATGAAATTGGAAAAGATGTTTGGTTTGTTGGAACTTGTTACGAATTTGATTTAGATTTTGGTAATTTCAATATCGAAATGATTGATTACGATCGAATTTTTCACCTTTTCGGAACTTTTTTTTGTTGTAAATTCGTTTTAAGGTGAATACTAGAAAGTTGTTTAATTCAGCAATTTTTTTTTTTTTTTATTGGATTAATTATGAGAAACATACCATAGATTGGTGATGGAGGCTTTTTATTTAGAGTTGAAATTTTAGCCCGCACGGGCTAGCTCAACTTGTAAGGCCTTTGGGGCACTTCCCCCTGTGTCTTCGGTTCAAGACTCGCCAAGGGTGAGGTCTGGACTTAAATGATGCATGTGCCACGGTGATTTGTCGGTGATTGTGTGCATTTGGAGTTTGCAAACCATCGGGGAGTCCAAAGTGGTTAGCGGGAATTATAGTTGAAAATTTTCAGGGTACAAAAAATCCTCCCATTGTATGGTTTAAAGGGTCAATTTCTAATGACCAGATGCAGATACCCTAGGAATATAATTTTTGAGGCTTGGTGGTCGATGCCGTTGCTTTAAGAGAGTGACTCATAAGTGCTTGTTGTTATATTTGGAAAATGAGCTTCTTAGAGTTGTCTGTTAATTCAGTATGTTGAACTGGAAATGTCATGTTTTGTGATGGGAAATATTTTCATGCAATTCAGATGGCCTAATATGGACTGCCGTTTTGTGCTGGGCATGCTGCACCCCCTTCAATACTGCTATTAGTTGTACTGCTTGGACATGTTATAGCTAATAGCTGTAGTTATTCATCATCTTCTAAGCAGCACTCTTCAACCTTTCCAAGAGAGGTGGGTGGGTTTTTTTTTTCCTCTGTTGAGAGAACAAGGGGGAGGGGAATCTCCAATTTAGAATTGAGCCGAATGACTGAGAGGCGCTATACTATTTTTAGTATGTAGCTGCACTCACCTGCTGTAGCACTAAATTCCGAATTTGACATCAAATATGGGTTTCATGTGGGCGTTGGACAGAGGACTTAGCAGGTCGGTATTGTTGTTGTCAATACGATAATATCAATTTTATTATTTATTTAATTTTTACTTGGTTAAATTTTGAACCTTTATCTGGCACCAGATTGGCATATGATTTATACCTCGAATCTTATTTGTAGCTTCTCCGCTCACTCATATAGAATTGATGCCTCATTGCCTCCAGTGGCTTAAGAGGATTAATTTTATTGTGTATGGGTGAGGATCTTGAACACTTCAACCACTATCCTCTCTCTTCGAACTTATTTCACACCTTCTATGCTTCCTATACTCAGTGCCCTCAGTGGCCTAAGAGAGGAGTACATTCATTTGCAGGGGTGGGGATCCTTAATACTTCACCCAATACTCTTCCTTTGTGGCCCTTTCGACATTAAATTGTTGTTCAAATGCCTTGCTGAGCAATCCAATCCATATATTGGCTATGTAATTACACAGTTGTCAAATCATTCGGAGATGGAATGTATGAGAAAGTGCAATAAATAGGAAAGAATAATTCTTGAATGGTAGTCCCAAAAATTGTCCAGGAGACCAGGGCATGGGTTGCATGTTTAATTTCGAAGAATGAAACGTTCAGACAAGAAGTGCCAAGAAAAGGAGAATCAGACAACATAGAAAAATTGATTGCTGGAGTGATCACAACTCCAAACATGTCAGGTGGGGGGAGGCTTTAGTTTATTGCATGGTCATGCTCACGAGAAATTTGATCTTACGACTTCTGAGTTAGTTTTGGTATCTGCTTTATTGAATTAATTAGTGGATTATCTTACAAATTTATGATGTTGTTCTCCAATCTCCAATCTATCAAATTTCACTTTGCTATCTATTTGTCTTTTCACTTTTGTAATTGATCATTATGAAGTACTTACTTTCCTCAGATTATTGGAGACATTGTACTGAAACTGTTTTATGCTTGTCTACAGCGGTTCTGGACTGGAAGTGGCATCAATAAAAACAAAGAAATGGTGGAGAATTTACAGCATTATGGAGTGTTTAAGTCAAAGAAGGTAGCAGAGATAATGAATACTATTGATAGGGCTCTGTTTGTACCTGATGGAACCCAAGCCTATGTTGACACCCCCATGCAAATTGGTTACAATGCCACTATCTCCGCACCTCATATGCATGCCACATGCCTTCAATTGTTGGAGGAAAATTTGCAGCCTGGCATGCATGCTTTGGATGTTGGTTCAGGTATATTTACCATTCCATTGATTCTGTAACTAAGCTATTACTAATGCTTTGAAACCATGAGGTACTAATTTCAGTTAATTTGTTGTATGAGGACTTGCTTATCTGCAATTTGACAAAAAACAGTCTGATGTTTTAGGTTTCCTAGTAATAGAGCCTGAGAATAGATATGCTTCTCATTACCCTAGTAGCATAAGTTTAGTTAATGTGCGTTGTTATTTATTAGAAAATGCCTAATTTTATGTGATTGTCATGCTTCATGACCTTGTAATGCTATTCATATTTTATTTACTTTTTTGTTATGTTCCATAACCATGTAACATTATTTAGTGAATTTAGTATATAATTCTCTTTATCTTCAACATCACTATCTGGCAAGGTGATGAAATTGTGAGGCGTTGAAACTTCTTTTTATGGCTGTTCTTAGTGAGCGCCTAAGAAGACAGTGATGGCTGAATTTGTTGTGTATGTTGATGGTTGACAAATGCAATTTTAGATCACACATTCATACTAAAAAACAGCACTAAAAAATAATCTACCTTCCTTTCACACTACGAGAGAGTATCTCTATTTACTTTACTTATAAAATGGCCAAAGAGAAAGAGAGAGATAGACTAAGATGGTTTTCCGGACATACAAAGAATCAGGCAATCATCTAGCCCTGTGGTCTACACCATTTTCTGATTCCTGGTACTACCAGCTGTGAACTTGAATCAATATCCTACCACTCTCAAAGGGCAGGTACATGTGGTTCTCAGTTGGATGTGTGTGTATTGTGTACTTGTCCCCAAAAAAAAGGTACAACAAGGGTGAATGCACTCTTTTTTTATAGAACATATTTTCAGTATTACTTTCTACCTGATCTTATACTTTTCCTATTGCAGCCTAATACAAACAAGAAAGGTAATGCATGACTTCAGTATGACAGATTGACAAAAGTGCTCATATTTATCTTTATTTGGATTTTATCTTGTTATTTTTTTCTTCCTGATAAGATTAATAATGAACATGTGAGGTGAACACTAGGTACAACGCCTATAAATGATAAAATTAGAGAAAGTAGACTTATGTGGTATAGTTATAATCGACGCAGACCCGATGATGCACCGATTAGAAGATGAAGAGTTGTTTGCCTAGAAGGTAAGTAACAAAGGGGTCAATCAAAACTTACATGGGATGAAGTAATAAAGAACGATCTAAAAAAATTAAATCTAAGAGAAGACGTGGTATATAATATAATAGAATGGAAAAAGAGAATTCATGTGGCCGACATCATCCATATGGGATAAATGTAAGATTGATGATGATTATGATGATTTCTTCCCAATCTAATGTTTCTTGATCTTGACGTAGTTTCATACAAAGGCAAAGAAAGATAATGCTTGTCTTCGATATGGTTAATTGACAAAAACACAACATTTAGTTAGGTGTATATTGTTATCTTAGATCCCATACATGTTTATCTCGTCATGCATGTGCGAGAGTTCAACACATGCCCTACCCTAACTCTGACAGAGTCGCTACGGGAGCAAGGCGAGTGCAGGAGCAGGAGTAGGGTCATAATGTATGTATACAATACTTATATGTATTGTTAGAACATTTATATGTATGTAGATATTTATGTTGGGGTCAGATTGTAATTATATATATAGTTGTGGCCATTGTGCAAATAGGCCATTCTTGTATTTGTATATTTACCCTTTTATGTTTAGGGTTGATTAAGGAGAATCAGAAGGCCGTGCCTCCAATCTATGTTCAATACATCTTTTCTCTCTCTCTCTCATGTAAACTTTCGCATGGTATCAGAGCTTCGATCTGAAGCCGTTTCCGTTGCAAATTGTATAGTCGACGAAGGTGTGTGAAGCTTCTAGGGACCTTGGATCTATGGTCGGCAGTAGCCCAAGCAAGCTCACCGACGATCCTCTGTTGCTGTCGCCGAAGTCGCGTGACTCTTTGTTGTTGTCGCCGAAGTTGTCATCACAGTTTTTTTTTTTTTTTTTTTTGTCGTCATGTTGATTGGTTGAAGTTGATGAGGAGCCATCTGAGGTGCGATTGGTGCCTGTAAGAGTCGTCGTTGCCAAGAAGTTGGCTAGATCGCTGGAGAGGGCTTCATCATCCTCCGAGTCTGTAACTATGAAGAAGAAGAGGGGTGTTTGGCTACAGATGTACGGTTATCCCAAACCAGGTTAGCATATCCAATACATGGTTATGCTATCCCAAACCTGGTTTACTAAAACCGGTTTTGCAGAGATCCGGTTCAAGCTCAACCCGGTTCTGTAAACCCGTTTCTGGATTCGACCCAGAGCCAGTTTCTGGCAGCATTTCCCTGCCTTCTCTTTGGACAGGTGCACTCTTTTTTTCTTTTTTTTTCCCTCTTCTCGGGACAGTCAGATTTTTTTTTTTCCTCTCCCGGTTCATCATGTCAGGCTCTTCAATCTCTGCTGCCACTGTATTGCCTAATGACAACATCACACATCATAAATCTTCTAATGTCGTTACCTTTGGCCAGTTAGGTAATATTACATGTTTTTCAGATGTACAGAGTTCATCCTCCCCTTGGGTTCTTGACTCTGGGGCCTCTACTCATCTAACGGGTAACGAGTCTTTTCTAATTTTCGTACGTCTAGCTCCACATCTTTTGTTACTTTGGCAAATGGTAGAACTCGCCCCATTATTGGTCAGGGTACAGTTAAACTTACTCCTTCCATCTCATTATCTTCGGTTCAATTGGTTCCACAATTTCCTTTTAATTTGTTATCTGTGAGTCAACTGACTCAAGCACTCAATTGTTCTGTGACCTTTTACTCCTCATTTTGTGTCTTTCAGGATCTCAAAACGAAGAATACAATTGGTGGCGGCATTGCGAAAAATGGTCTCTATTACTTGGATTGTGAGTCGCCTACTGGTGGTACTGCCCTCCATTCACAGGTCGCTACCAATGACCACCAGTGGCATAATCGGTTGGGTCATCCATCCTTGAGATACTTGAAGTCTACCCTTCCTTCTCTTGGGTCAGTGTCTAATTTAGAATGTGAGTCGTGTCAATTAGGCAAGCACCATAGAGTCTCGTGTCCTCCCCGCGTCGATAATCGTCGGTCTTCTTTGTTTGAATTGGTCCATACCGACATATGGGTCCTGCTCGGCATGTCACCCAGTCAAGTTTTTCATATTTTGTTACCTTTGTTGATGACTATTCAAGAATGACTTGGCTCTTTTTAATGAAAGACCAATCTGAACTTTTTTCCATATTTCAATTATTTCTTAAAGAAATTGAGGTCCAGTTTGGCAGTGTTACAAAAATTTTACAATCTGATAATGCTATGGAATATGTGAAAGGTTCTATTTCTACATTTTGTGAGTCTCGTGGTATTTTGCACCAAACTTCTTGCTTTTATACTCCTCAACAAAATGGCGTAGCAGAACGGAAAAATAGGCATTTAATTGAAATAGCTTGGACTTTAATGATGCATGTGCATCTTCCAAAGCCATTTTGGGGCGATGTTGTTTTAACTGCTTGCTATTTAATTAATTGTATGCCATCTTCCGTTCTTAACTGAAAATGCCCTTATTCTTTTGTTTTTCCTACTTGACCGTTATTTGCATTTACTCTTCGTGTTTTTGGATGTGTGCGCTTTGCTCACATACTACGTCCTGGCACTGATAAATTGTCTCCTCATGCCATTAAGTGTGTCTTTATTGGGTACTCTCGGACTCAAAAGGGTTATAAATGTTGGGACCCTAACACTCGTCGTGCTTTGCTTTTGTGTGTATGGATGTTACCTTTTTTGAGGACACTCCTTACTTCTCTGCTCGTGGTTCATCTTTAAATACTGATCTGTTGCTTTCGCTGCCGGCTGTGTCTACTTCATCTGTGTCTATCGCACCACGACCGCTACAAGTGTATAGTAGACGATCACAGGCAACCCCAATTGTCTACTTCTATTGAGGTTCCTCCTGCTGATGATCTTCCTATTGCCCTACGTAAAGGTATTCGTTCGTGTGTTATTGTACATCCCATTTCTAATTTTGTCTCATATGATCATGTTTCACCTTCTTTATCCTGCTTTTTATCCAAATTATTTGCTACTGTTATTCCCAAGACTTTGCAGGATGCTCTTTCTAATTCTGATTGGCGCAAAGCAATGGTTGATGAAATGGATGCTCTTCATTGTAATGGGACATGGGATCTTGTTCCCTTACCTCCTGGTTCCAAACCAGTTGGTTGTAAGTGTGTCTACACTGTCAAATACCTTCATGATGGGTCTATTGGGTGTTTGAAGGCTCGTCTTGTCGCAAAGGGGTACACCCAGACTTATGGTGTTGATTATAATGAAACTTTTTCCCTTGTTGCAAAGATTTCTTCTATATGGGTCCTTATTTCCATTGCTGCCAATTGTAACTGGCCGTTGTTTTAATTAGATGTGAAAAATGTTTTCTTACATGGCGACTTAATTGAAGAAGTTCATATGGAGCAACCACCTGGGTTTGTTGCTCAGGGGGAGTATCGTCATACTGTTTGTTGCCTTAGGAAGGCTCTGTATGGATTGAAGCGATCTCCAAGGGCTTGGTTTGGAAAGTTCTCTGCGGCAGCATTAGCATTTGGTCTTTAAAGACGTCAGACAGACCATTCGGTGTTTCACCAGCACACTAAAGCTGGTTTCATTTTCCTTGTGGTATATGTTGATGACATTGGGATCACAGGTGATAATTCTGAAGGTATTGTTAAATTGAAGTTGTTTCTACAACATCAATTCCACACTAAAGACTTGGGTCAACTCAGATATTTCTTGGGTATTGAAGTTGCTAGATCCAAGGAAGGTATAAGTTTATCTCAAAGAAAATATGTGTTGGATTTATTAGAAGAAATAAGTATGTTGGGTGGTCGTTCTATTGATGCTCCTATGGATCCAAATACAAAACTCTTGTCAGATGAGGGTGATTTATTTGATGATCCTGGCAGATATCGACGTCTTGTTGGGAAATTAATTTATCTCACTATCACTCGACCGGATATCTCATATGCAGTTAGTGTTGTAAGTCAGTTCATGGGATCTCCTAGGATGCCACATTGGAATGCAGTTCTTCGGATTATCCTATACCTCAAGCAAGCTCCAGGTTTTGGGTTGCTATATAAACCAAATGAACATCTTAGGGTGGAAGGTTTCACAGATGCTGACTGGGCTAGTTCTCCCTCAGATAGGAGATCTACTACAGGCTACTGCACATTTGTTGGTGGAAATCTTGTTACATGGAAAAGTAAAAAGCAAACTGTGGTAGCACGGTCTAGTACTGAAGCAGAGTATAGGGCGATAGCCCATACCTCTAGTGAGTTAACGTGGATAAAACATTTTCTTGAGGAACTTGGGTTAATAGTCAAGACTCCTGTTCCATTGTTCTGTGATAACCAAGCAGCTGTTCACATTGCATCCAATCCGGTGTTTCATGAAAGAACCAAGCATATTTTTTTTTATAAGTAAAAATATATTAGAAAGACGTTCAAAAGGGGAACGCGTCCTTAATACACAAAAACGAAAGAGCAAAAACCAAACCTATAGACCAACAGAGTCCAATAGAATAAAAAAGTCATCGATCGAGGAGCAAGCGCTGCCTCTGACATAACAGAAAAGAGAGCGTAGGATAAAAGACTTAAGGTTTGCAAAAGACGATTCCTTCCCTTCAAAGTTTCTGTTATTTCTCTCTCTCCAAATACACCACCAAACACAATGTGGGGCGACCCTCCAAAAATCATGAGCATGACCAGAAACAGGGCATCTTCTCCAAGCATTAATTAATTGGAAAGAGTGCTTAGGCATTACCCACTGAACGCCAAAAATACTGAATATGAGATTCCAGCAATCAGAAGCAATAGGACAATGCATAAGAAGATAGTCCACGGACTCACCATCAATTTTACAAAGACAGCACCAATTAACAATGGTATTGCCTCTCTTACGCAGATTATCCAAAGTTAAAATTTTTCCCCAAGTAGCAGTCCAAACAAAGAAGGCAACTCTAAGGGAAAACTAAGCATATTGAAGTTAATTGTCACTTCACTCGAGAAAAAATACTAAGTGGGAACATTTCTACTCCATTTGTGAAGTCTGAAGATTAATTAGCTAATATGTTTACTAAGGCTCTTGGTCATAATCGGTTAAAGGCGATTTGTTCCAAGCTGGGATTATATGATATATATTCTCCAGCTTGAGGGGAAGTGTTAGAACATTTATATGTATGTAGATATTTATGTTGGGGTCAGATTGTAATTATATATATAGTTGTGGCCATTGTGCAAATAGGCCATTCTTGTATTTTTATATTTACCCTTTTATGTTTAGGGTTGATTAATGACTCTCTAAAGGTTACAAGTTTTCATCACCTTCCCAACAAAATCACTTTTATAATTACCTGCACAAACGCTACTTGTGGGTGGCATATGGATTGGTGTGTATTTGGTGTGATCTTTTACAGTGTAGTGGTGTCACAAAATTCAATGAAGGGAAAACTGGCATAAATCGGTGGATTGACATAAAGAATCCATGATATAGCAGATTTGATCACCCAGGTTGTCAAATCATGTTACTTAGGTCTCTTCTTATAAAAAGATACTTTGATGATGGTAATATGGTTAAATGCTGGCACTAATATGAATATGTGTGTGTGTGTAAGGTAAGAGACAGCAAGGCCAACCAAAATTAATATGGAATGAAGTAAACTAAAAATGACTTCAAAAAATTAAATATTAGAGGGGATGTGGCATATAATAGAATAGAATGAAAAAAGAGAATTCATGTGGCTGACCCCAATCATTTGGAAAAAATCAAGGATGATGATGATGGGGTGTGTGTGCGTGCGTGTGTACTGCCATGTCAACACCTTTTAATTTTTTCATGTTGCAGCCCATTTTGTCCAGTTCTTAGACTTACCTGGAAAAAAGAATTTAGTTTTCAATCAGACACGTGTGTGTCAACAAACAAAATGGTTTGCATGTTTAAAAATCATGGTGAAAAAGGAATGCATATATGTGGCAGTGTTCTGTTGCTGCTATTGTGAAAAGAAAGTGAGAGGCAAGAAGATGAAACTATGAATAATGTAAAAACCATTTTTTTTTTGTAACAAGGAATTGAGTTAGTCTATTTTAACAAGCTTGGTTAGGATGTAGAGGGCTTGAGTTTGGCCAAACATATATGAACCAAGCATGATGGAGTTAGCATGGATCAAACTCAAGCTCAATTCTGAGTCTAACACTCTGAAGCTCAGTTCCGTTCAATTGCAATCCTGCAAGTTGTCTTTTAGGTTTTCTGACTTGGTTTTTTTCCGGGGCGACTAAAATCAGCTTACTTTTGGGTTAAGTTGAAGTTGGGAATTGTCCATCTTGAACACAAGTCATGTATTATAATGTTTAAAATAACCCGGAGCCTTTACTTATCAAAAAATAATAATAATAACCCGGAGCCAACCAATTACCTTATAATTTTAATCACGTTGAAAGAATAAAGTGAGTCATTAAGTCATTGGACTAATTACTTATCAAAAAAAAAATTAAGTCATTGGAATAATTGATATTGCCAGAGATATGTTTGAGTGCAACTAATGGGGTGAGGGCGTCGGTGTTGATTTATGACTGGACCCTAGTTGCCTGAAAATAATTTATTCCAGGAAAATTTAAACAAACAAGATTTGTGAATTTCAGTTGGTTTTGCCAGCTTTATTGATTAGAACATTGATATTCAGATTCTAATAGATACAATAAAGATTTTTCAAATGCAATATCAATAACCAGCAATTTTTCACTTAGTATCAACATCTTTTTTGTATCATTGCACGAACTTCATTGTCATTGCATTTCCTTATTGCAATTTTATTATTATTATATTTTTTTTGGTAGGAACGGGGTATTTGACGGCATGCTTTGCGCTTATGGTTGGACCACAAGGCCGTGCAGTTGGTGTTGAACATATTCCTGAGTTGGTCACTTCTTCAATTGAGAATATCCAGAAAAGTGCAGCAGCTCCGTTACTGAAAGAAGGTTCCCTCTCTGTGCATGATGGTGGTATGTTTCAGTAGGAGCCACATATTTTCTTTTGTCATTCAATATTTGAGAATAATCTAATTTCGTTCGCACTGATAATTCCATACAAATTAAAAATAAAAATAAAAAGTGTATTTCTTGGGGATGAAATGATGATATGTTGCAAGGGAACCTGGGGTCCCAAAGAATTTGATTTCTTGTGATGATTGTTCGACCCATGGACTTCATTCTTTGTATTTAGGCTTTGTAAATCATTTTGGTGTTTCTAATTCAAAGAATTTCTTTTCTTCTTTATAGAAAAGTAGATATTTGATTTTTTGATTTTTTAAGTTTCTAATTCCTGTACATCGGTAATATTAGCATCCGTTTCCCTATAAGAAGCATCAACTGGATAAATCTTAAGAAAGTAGGACATAAGCATGACAATAAAATATTTATATTCTTATAAAAATTTGTTCTTTCATTATAATTAAATTTAATGTGTAATGTCTAGATGAAAGTTACGGCTTTACATTATATAATAATATATATCCTTGTCGTATTGTGGAAGTCATGAAAAGGAGACGATATATGTGTGTTTGTGTGGTTGAATATGTACATGGATATGTATATGCCTGTGTGTGATTGTATATATCTCTGTACACACAATATGATGACTTCTTTATCCTCTCCTACTCTAATGTTCACTCCTTGAATAATCCATTTTTTAAATCTTGTTTTTACTTGGTTCATTGGTCACACATGTCGTGTTCAAAAAGTGTCAACTGTGGATCTGCGATATGAAATTTCTTTCAAAATTTGTTGGAAACCTTTTTGGAATGTTCCAAATATTGTCAATTTCAAAACTTATGTGACATGTACAAGGTTCGTCCTTTTAAGTGGTGCTAACCAGAACTTCCTACTTTTGAGTTATTATAATATTTTTTGGGTAATGACAGATTGCCTGATCACGCTTATTCTGTATATTTATCTTGATTTATATAGAACTTAATCCTTTGCAAGATGTATATTTTTTTAATGATCAACTTAATTCAAGGATGCAGACTATTTTATTTGATGATATATGCATGGTGACAGATGGAAGGCTTGGCTGGCCAGAGTTTGCACCTTATGATGCTATTCACGTCGGAGCAGCAGCACCAGAAATCCCTCAAGCACTTATCGATCAGTTGAAGCCTGGAGGCAGAATGGTGATTCCAGTTGGGAACATATTCCAGGACCTAAAGGTGGTTGAGAAGGACCTGGACGGTTCAGTCAGTATCCGAACTGAGACCTCTGTTCGTTACGTTCCTCTTACAAGCCGAGAAGCTCAGTTGCGGGGCTATTGAGGCGCTCGGATGATCCTTCAACTATATGCCTGGAAATCTCTGGGTTCGCAGTGTAGAAATCACTCTTTCTTTACTAGTGCACTTGAAGTTCTTTATCTCTGTACAGATAATGCTGTTACATCTTTTGAAGTGCTCAATAGCACAATAAGTTTAGAACTAATGAGATTGCATGGCATAGACCTCTGATAAATCATACATTTGTTGGAAACTGAATGAAGAAAATTAGTAGAAAAGGCTGGTCTGTAGAAAATATATGCCTTGTGGTTTATTTGAAGAGCAAGGAACAAGAGTACAATTGAAGTTCTTTCTATGGATAAATGCTACTTCATCTTGTATAAGTGCCTAAAAAGAAGTTTGGAAGTTAGTTGAGAATGCATTAACCTTTTTTTGTTCTCTTTTTTGCATTGGCAAGAAGAAAAAAAAACACGCACACTTTGTCCCTTTGGGGGTTTGAGAAGATACCTGTGTGTTGGCAATAATTTGGTTTGAGAAGATACCTGAGTGTTGGCAATAATTTGGTTTGATCATATCTTTCTAGAATTGAGGTGAAGAAAATTAATGCATAAGAAGCTCAATCCACAGAAAAGATTTGTTGTGTTATATATGGAGAGCAAAAAACTATAGCCTGTTTGGTTCAATTTTCTAAAATCAGATACGAATTTAAAAAACAAAATATTGTTTTCAAGAATTCAAAAAACAAAATATTGATTTTACACAAACTATAAATGACAGTTTAACAGACTTTTTAATTGAGTTTTAAAAAAACTGCAATTTTAACAAGTTCTTTATACAATATTTTGATTTTTAGTTCTCTAGAAACAAAAAAATTGTAGTAAAAAAACCGAACCAAATAGCCCCTAACCTTTCAGAAAGTGAGCTCTGCAAGAGATCAAGAACACCAAGTATGCATAGACAAGCATAAAAATTCCTGTGTGTTTACAAGCAGAGCAAGATCTTTATTTCCAATTAATGCAGTTTTGAGGTCAGCAAACCCCTCAAACCTTTCGAAAAACCACAAAACAACCCCTCACGATGTTAAACTATATTGACAGAAATCGGTCTGTCTGGAAAGAATACATTAGCTATAGACAAAGGGCATCAATATATCACAACTAACTGTCTGTACCATTTGATTTCAAAAGTAAACCCATCAAGTCCATGTACAAATAATTCCATTCTTGTCAGAGGAGGCTACAGGTTTGCCAAGACCACTCCAAGAACAACATAGGACAGAAGTAGTGTGCTCCTTTAGAGTGCTCACTATATCAGCTTTTGATATTGACCAAACAGAGATCGATCCATCAGCCGATCCAGCAGCAACATAGTTGTCATCTGCACTAATACAGGAACGGCTCCAATTAGATGCCACTCTATTCCCAGCTGCGCTAAATCTGCCACAAACTTCAAGAGAGTGCATATCAAACAAATTGTGCAAATTGTCTCTCCCACTTGTCAATATTACATTTCCATTTCGGGATGAGGATATTGATGTAACAGCAAGTGAATGTGCAGCAACTTCACTGAGTAGCTTTCCTGTCTGGATATCCCACAACCGAATATTCCCATCAACATGACCTGAACAAATGGTCAGTCCATCCATGCTGAAACAAAGAGCATTGCAATTGCTGTGAAAGATAATTGTGTTGATGCAGTATCCTTTCTGCAGATCCCAAACTTTTATGGTACGATCATAAGCTGCACTCACAACGTGGCGACTTGAAACTTTGCTCACATCTACAGCACAGACTTTATCTATGTGGCCTGTGAGAGTATGACGGATCCGACCTGAATTTACATCCCATACATACAAGTTGTTTGAACTACTGGCTGCAATAACAGATCTATTATCATGCGTAATGGTGAGATCAAGAACAGAGCCCAGACAACCATGAAGAGTGCGACTTAGTGACCCAGTGTTTGTATCCCATATCTTAATAGTCCTGTCCTGTCCCCCACTAATCAAATTCCCAGAATTGTATTCAAACAATATAGAAGCACAGCCACCTTCATGAGCAGGGATTTTGTGCTTGCATGCATTGGGAATAGTTGACTCCACATAGTACTCAGCACCTTCTTCACTTCGGCGAACCACACCATCCACTTGCTGCCGGGCAAGTTGTTCTATGCTACTGGCCTTGACCCGATCAAGCATCTCTCCATAAATTGCATTAGCCTAATATACCAAGCAAAATGATAACTAACAAAATTTCTCACTGAAGGCAAAATGAACAGATACAATATCTAGGTACTTCGAAGAGCAAAGGGAAGAAAGAGCTAAATGGGAGGAGGACATCTTTGGATCAAAGGATTGGAAGGATGAAGCCTACATCCAGGAATCAATCCAGCAGTTTAAATTTCCAACCTTTACTCATATAAAGGCTAGTAAAAGCATGGTTACATCTTAGCAAGATTACAACAGGATCATGATCTCACTAACAGAGAAAGATGAAAATAAAAGGACCACAATTGAGAACTCCTAACTAACCTCAAAGGCTCCAAGTCAACTGTTTATGCAATCCACTCCCTACCAGAGAGACAGAGAGAGGCACAATCTATTGACATAACAAACACAGCCCTTGAGTAGATGAAACAAAATCAAGTGTTCCATAAGCTGAATCACATTTTAGATTCTCAAATTGTATATCCAAGAAAAAGTCACGAATTTACTCGCATTGAAGGAATACTTCATCATATTCATATCCAGGCTAGGAACTAATAGTATTTTAAATTCTCATAGGCACATTAATAACAACTCCAGTAATCCACTTATCCATAAGGCGTTACCTAGTGTTGTTCACGCCTATATGGGATCCCGAGAGAAATCTGCTATAAAAAGACCTAATTGTTGGTCTTGTTAAGCATAAGTGACTTGTGAACGAACCAAATATATTTCAGAAGAGCAAAAATAAATTCCTCTCAAATTTTCACAATGGTCCTACCAAGAGAAACTCCTCTAAAGTTTAAGAGATCTCCTTAAAAGTGAGAAGTTTTTATTTTCGAGAAGAGTGGTAAAAGAAGTTAGGCAAGAAGAATAAAATTCTGTACAATTCATATAAGTTAATGCATATCAAATAAGTAATAGGGTTAAGTGCAAAATACCACTCTGAACTATGGGAAAACTTGCAACTAACCCCCTGAACTTCAAAAAATGCAAGAAACCCCTTAAACTATGCAAAAAAGTTGCAGATCACCCCATCCGGCCAAGTTCCGGTGAATGTTGACCGTTAAAAATAGTTGACTTATTTTAAAATACCATATTGCCCTTGGAAGCATGAAAGAACTAAAATGCCCTTAATTTCCATCATCCGGAGAGAGGTGAGTGGCGGCATTGTGGGTGAGCTTGGAGGAATGTGCTTAGATCGGCCTGTCCAAACCTGACAAAAAGAACAGTCCAAATCCAACAAAATTGACTCTCATAAATTACAACTCAAGGATCAAAATGTGAGTATGAAAGGAAGTAAAACTCTGTTGAACTATAATATTGAGCTGAAGATTGATCTAAAAGACACCATTTTGAGTACTCGGAGATCAAGATCTGAATTGAAAACAGTGAATGCTACAAAAATGGAGCTGAAGCAAAGAAGTTATTAAGAAATGGAGAAGTAATGTAGAGAGAGAAGGAAAAGAGAGAAACTCAGCGATCAGAGGAAGAACAAGAAGCTGGTGAGGAGGATGCAACTATGAATAGAACCAATCTCAAATGAATCCATGATGACGATGACGATGACGATGACGATGACGATGACGAAGATGGAGAAGATGAATTTGAAGATGACGACGAAGTATGACTTCGTCGGAGGGCTCTCATCTATCTATAGTTGTTACTGTTAACAGGGAAAATCTATTGATTTCTAGGGTTTCAGATCTGTGGAAATTAGATTACTTTTTTCTAAGTCTTTACCTATGAGTGTACAACACGGCGTCGGCCAAAGCGAGACCCGCCAAGGCCGTGACGGCGACAACTATTCCAGCATTGGAATCGGCCGTCATCGCCAGAATCCGCCAACGCCGAAGAAGAAGAAGCCTCCAAATTTAGTGATGACTTCAACACCATTAAACTCCACAAATTGAATCAAATGCAACCAATGCCGTCAATTGATACGTTTAATCATCTATTGGGTTCTATCTCCAAGCTCGGATGCTATTTGGTTGTGTTTTCGCTATATAAGAAGATGGGTTTTGCTGGAATTAAGCCTGATTTGTGTACATTGAACACTTTGATCAATTGTTGTTGTCACTTGAATAATGTCAATTCTGGGTTTGGTCTTTTTGGGGAGATTTTGAAGAGAGGTTTGAAGCCGGATTTACTGACCGTCAGTACTCTAGTCAAGGGTTTGTGTATGGAAGGTAGGGTTATGAATGCAGTCCAGTTGTTTGACCACCGTCGTTATGAATAGGAGAGGAATGAAGGCCGGACCAGTGCTGGGTCGGTTCCAGGAAGGAGCAGTGGGAGTTTCTGGAGGGGGAAGCCGCCGCGCTGTTTCACTACCGCCACTGCCGAACTTTGGTCTCCACCCATATTGCCTGCTTTCTTGTCAATCGCCGGCATGCATAAGCCGCCATCGCCAACTCCGGATCTGTCGCTGCTGTGCCAGTCTCTGATTTGCGCCATTATAGCGACTTCTCTAGTTGCTGTTCTGCACCGCCGAGCTCTCCAAGGGCCGAAATCTCCACAACCGTGCTCTACACCACCGATCTCTCTCTCGCTCGCCGGCTGCCATCACCTTCACCCCTCTCTCTCTCTCGCTCGGCGGCTATGACTATGATCAATGCAATTTTCAGCGGCAGCAGCGCATGGTTTCCGATGACGAATGAACAGTGCATACATATATATATATATATATATATGTATGTATGTGAGTTTATACAGAGCTGTTAATAAGTCAATTTAGGAAGGGCAGTCTCGTCTTTTTTCTTTTCTGGTGGCCTGAGTGGGCAAATTGCAACAAATTGAAAGTTCAGGGGGGTTTTTTGTAGTTCGGGCGGGGGGGGGGGGGGGGGGGGGGGGTAAGTTGCAAAACCCCCATAGTTAAAGGGGGTTTTCTGCACTTAACCCTAAGTAATATGCATCACTGATGTTAAATCTATAACTGTTGTTGAGACTCGACTGATCCTTGCTATTGTATGTCCAAGTCATTTCCAAGCAAATTATTAGATACCAGTATCAAGCTATGCTACTCCAAAGTAATGAAGCCAAATTATAACAATGAAATGACAATAACAAAAAAAAAAAAAAAATGGCAAAAATAGCAATAATGGTACCTCATTAAGGCGTTCAGCATCCTGCATTTTCGACAACATCCAACGGTCAATTAACATTTTATTTTCAGCCTCAGCATTTTTAGCTTTCGTAATCATCTCCTCAAGTTGAGTTTTAAGTTCTTGGTTCTCACTTGTGACCAATTCTAAACATTTAGTCTTTTCTTCTAAATCTATAGTCAAATGAGAACATTCATCCCTGCAGCATGTACCGAAGTTTCAATCATTCATGTTATACCTTAAATTATCATTAGTATTTCCTGTTCAAGGCAAAAAGATAAGGGAAAAATAACTGAGGGGAAAGAAACCTTGCATTATTGAGCTCATTTTGCAGATCAGTGATTATAGCTTCTTTCTCTTGAGCTAAAGTTTTTGAAGCTCTGGACTCAGCCACTTCCACCACAAGCTGGTCAGATAATCGGGCTTGAGCTTTGTACAATTGCTGAAGTTCCACTTCGAGATTTTCTGCTTTCTCTTTCCATTCTGAACCCTACAAGAATATACAAACTAACTCAGTCATGGTATTCATAATCATTAAAAGATGAAAGGAGAGGCAAAGAAAACGTGACATTGAAATTAAAATGGCAACTGGAAACGAGAGCATCTAGTTCAAGGAGCACTTAACAACAACAGCCATGTAGGTCAACATTCAAGTGTTTTCTTTCCTGCCAATATGAGCAAATTTGGGGCGTGTTGGTTTAGTTGAACATGCTCTTAGAGAGCAGCACCTCTTTATACTTCTAAAGTATAATTGGAAGGAGATCTAGGAAATAACCAATGGCAATGTGCTACACATAATTATTAAAGGCTCAAGGCACGCTGTGCCACCACGGTCCCAAGGAATTTAAGTGCAAATGTCCAAAATAAGGCACATGCCTAAGCCGACTTGGGCACACATATGATAGTATTGCACATTCTATATAGTTATAATTGAAAATGTTGAAACATGCAACACAAACAATGCTGAGTCTTAATGAATATGAAGCCCTCTGGACCCACAGCAGGCCTTTTGACAAACTATGGTGCTACATATTCCTACATTAAAGAAAATTATTTAACAGTTTTATGGGCTTCAAATATTGGTGAAAAAAAAAAATGCATCTCGTTGATTTTGATAACACCTTCATTGTGATTAGGTTTAGTGGGTTTTGCATGATCAACAAATACAGAACATATTGAAAGAAAATAAGAAAGGGAATGCTTTATGGTAAATCAAAAGCAACTATCCTGTTGAATTCTGGAATTTTCTTTGCCTTTCATTATAATTAGGTTTGGAGGTTTTTTCATGATTATGGATTGACAAATACTCAAAAAAACACAAGGAAAAACAAGAGATGGCTAATAGGCTACACAAGCTTTATGGCATAAATTTTACACAACATCTAGCAGTCAAGAGCAAACAAGTCCAACACATGCACGCAACACTTAAATAAGAAAATGAAGACTACATCAGATGAGACACAAGGCAAGAAACAATTAAATAAGACGTGAATGCATCAGTGAGAAGCTAAAATAGAAATAGCAGAGGGAAAATGATAACAAAGCAGAGGAAAAGTTTGGAAAATTTCTCATAGGCTAGATATGCTTCTTAGAATAAAACAGTGGGCGGTCAAGAAGGACGCCTTCAAAAAAGGATTGTATAAGAAGTGGAGATGCCAAGATGGATTAGTGACAACAGAAAGAAACATGAATTTAATAAATGCACCAGTTAGAAGCTATACGTAGCATCAATTTAATTAAGACAGATAAGAAATGGTTGGATTAGATGATTTGGTCATGTAATACTGAAAAAGGAAAAATATAGAAAGGTCAAGTGAAAGGTTATCAGAAAAACCAAGATGACCTTGAAAAAAAAGCTAAAAAAAAGCTGAGTTGTTGCTAAAGAATTCATAAGGGCAACACAAGTAGTGTAAAGTTGAGGATTCACAGGTTTCCAATTGCTTTTGTGTTCCTCAAATTAAATCAAAGCTTTGCAATTTTTGTTTAATTTTCATATCTGATTACTTCTGTTTAATAAAACTTCAAAACTCAATTTAAAATGCCGTCAATTTTTTTCTTTTTAAAAAAAATATAATTCCGAAAATCCACGACTAAAATTTACATTGACCATACAATCTTGGGGACTAAATCCAGAGTATCAAATAGTTGAGGTAACTCTTTACACTTCAAAACAATTACAACTTAATAGCACGTGACACTGAAAGAACTAATTAATCAATTGAGATACATAAATAATTAAACAGATTCATTTATATACATATACATACACATATATAGATGTAGAATATTCACAGGTATGGCAAAAAAAAAAAGGACCTGAGAAGCAAAGGGCCTTGATAGAGCGATGAAAGCAGGAGCATGAGCACCTTCCTCAAGTAAATGCCGCTTCCGAAGAGCCTTCAGAGCATGTTTAATTGCTTCCTTTGCGATCTCGTCATGTGACCTGAAAATATATATATCATTAACCGAACATTACCAATTCAATTATATATATATATATATGTATAAACACACACACATTATATAAGCATATAATAATAAGAATAACTTACATAATGATGGAATAATATGTGTTCAAGCGGTCAATTCCTTAGGGTCTCTAGAGTTGAAAAAGATACCTCTTCATTGATTTCAAATAGAAACTGATGACCGGTGAGGGGTTTCCTTTGTAGTGACAGAAAGTTACCTCGAAGCTGGAGGCTGTTCAGTGTTCTGTAGCACCACCAGAAAGAAAATAGAAAATAGCAGTCATATTTGCGAGGAATTATAAGTTGAATATACATGCATATTCACAAGAATTTAATCATATAGATACATGTAAAAATGTGGAATTTGTTGAACGAAGGTCCAGCATACACGAGAAAGATAAGTATAGCTGACTGAAACACATTGCTATACAATAAAAAGTTGTCAACAACAATAACAGGATGGAGAGAATAATCTCCAAATCCCATATGAGCAAAAGAAGACAATTTGAGATCAAACTATTCTATCCCCCAATGAATGTGGCCAAGAAGCCAAAGAAAGTGTACCTAAGAAAGAAAAAATTCAAGTCGTAAAGTTAAAGATATGTTAACCTGATTGAACTATTTGGCTATGTAAAGGTCATATTTACATCCCCCAATAGCATTATGGAATTATTTGCCAGGAAAGAAAATAAATAAATAAATAAGACTCATGAAGTGCCTAAATTTCATCATCACAAAGCATAAAATTCCATATCTTTCAATTCCTTTTCCTCAGTTTTATTCAGCAAATAATACAATTTCATATAGATAAACATACATGCATAATTACATACAAGGCAACAACAATTGAAACACTAAGTTATATACATAAACATAAACAAACCCTCGATTTGCTTCAGATTCAAAGGTAACAGAGAAAGCCCCAAATACGATTGATATGCAATAGTACCCAATAACCCTTTTTATTTCTCTCATTATGTACAGTTTTATAGTCAATTTAAATGATTCAAACCAAGAAACAGCAATACGAAATATATATACAGAGATGAACAGATTTGAATGTATACCATTAGAGGGAGAGAGACACACCTGTTTTTCTTGTAGGAGAGATGAAGTTGTTCTGGAGACTTTGGTTAGTTGCTTGTAGCGAAAGCGATACACATACAACATCAATCTCGCCCGCCTCTCTCTCTCTAGATTCACAAAGGACCTTTCGTCAAATGGTGCATCTTGGGCGGATCAATAACTCACTCAATCCCAGCCGAATTCAACTTTTTGTAGATTTTGTAGATCAATTTAATTAGAATTAGGTTTGAAATAAGGGCCTAGCAACTTGAGTCCTCTAACTTCATTTTCTATATATTTATAATTTTAAATATATTATATTTCGTTTTCTATAAATTTTAATTTATTCTATATTAATATTTTAAAATTAATGTTATGAGAATTGATTTTATAATTTTTTCAAAAATTTACATTCCTTTTTGAGTTATAAAATTAATCCACATTTTATATATGCACCGTTAGATTAAATTTAAAGGTTTTTTTTCAAACCCACTTATATCGTGTTATTTTAACACGAAACTATTATCATCGTATTTTTAGTTTTTATATTTAATTTTATCATTACCACCTAATATAATAATAAAAAGTAATTACCAAAATAAAAACATTTGAAAGAAAAATAATATCCGTATATATTACTAAAATTTTGTTTTTCTTTAGATGTTTCTTTGAAAAAATATAGAAACATTTGAAAGAAAAATAATACTCATATATATTACTAATATATATATATATATATATATATATATATATATATATATATTTCTTTAAATATTTCTTTTAAAGAAAAATAATACTGATATCTCTCAATTTTGTAACAACAGTACGATATTAGAGCCTTTTCCTAAGAAACATTTTGTTGTTCTCAATGTTCGACGGTATGTGGTCTTTTTTGCATGTGTACATACTAAAATTCAAAAAAAAAAAAATAATTCTCTAGTATAAACAAATTTATCAACAAATATACTGTAATGTTGTATTTTGAAATATCGAATTGAAACATTGGAATTTAATATTGAAACATTGGAATTTAAATTGGAGAAAAATTCATTTAAATTTTGAACAAAATTTCTTTCTATTTCAATTTTAAGACGTCTCGATGTTCTTAAACTAGCTTAATTAAATTTTGAGGAGTTACGTTTGGCATAAATTCTTTTGTTGAATTTTCGGACACTTGTGTTTAAAGATATAGAACAATGATCTCTGTTTATCCTCACCAAGCGAACCATCAAGTCCCGGTGATCTAAGACATGATAAGGAGGGATACATAATCTTAACGCGCAAGTTATCATTTGAAAATAGCTCATACAAAGAAATCAAGTCTATATAAAGAAAATAGTTATATGTATGAGCAATATAATTACTAATATTTAGACCACAATTGAACTTGGTGACGTGATGAGAAATACTTTATGACCTTAAGTAGAGTGCACGATTCCGGTCAGAGGTGTTTCATACCGTTTCAGAACCAAACTGTGAAGCAGTATTCTTGTTATAGTTATTTGTGCATGCAGGCGTGAATGATAATATTATACACCTGAATAATGGAAGCCCATGACATATTTTGACAGAAACATGAAAAATAGAGGTGAAGTGAGCCACAAAGACATTTCTTTTAAAAAAAATCTAAAGAAAAACAAAATTTTAGTAATATATACCAGTATTATTTTTCTTTCAAAAATTTCTATATTTCTTTCTAAAAAACGTCAAAAGAAAAACAAAATTTTAGTATAATATATGCAGATATTATTTTTCTTTCAAAGATTTCTATTTTTATTTTGGTAATTACATTTTATTACTAAATATAAAAACTAAAAATAGGGTGAGAGTGGTTTTGTGTTAAAAGGAAATGATATAGTGTTCAAATGACCGTTAAATTTAATATAAGTATCCATATATAAAGTGTAGATTAATTTTCTTACTCCACGAGGAGCAAGAGATCAAGACTCTCTCTCTATATATAGAGAAAGAGAGAGAGTAACTTGACTCAAAACTAACTTAAGATCCAAACAAAAACTTAACTCGAGTTTAAACATTTAAACATTTTAAGCTTGAATTGGATTATAGATTAAATGTAAAGTTGGTTTTGGTTAAGTATTGAACTTTTCATAACTAGGATTATGGTTTTGGTTTTGGTTTTGGGTTTACCTTTTTTTTTAGCATTTGTACAATTTCGCTCTTTTAATGAAAACTATGCAATTCCGAATTGAAAAAATTAGCTGACTCCCTCATTAATTTCTCAACTACAAAAGTCATACCTGTCAAATTGTTGATGATAAGTGCATAAAAAATGTTAAATCACTGATCTCATGAGTTTGGACTCACCATGTAGGGATGACAACAGGACGAATGTCGCACGAGTTTGCCTCAATCCGTCCCCTTCACATTTAATTAATGAGAATCCCAAATTCGAGATGGGTTAATTTCTCAAAACCCATCCCCGCCCGTTTGGGAGATAAGTGAACTTGTAACTGCCCGATTGAGGATTTGTAAGATCTCACTCTCTAAGACCAGTGAGGCTTTGTTAGGTTAGATTGTTAGATAACTTATTAACTTGGATTATTTTAGGTTAAGAAGTAAGAATTAAAGACAGATATATATATATATATATATATATATATATATATATATATATATATATATAACGAGGCAAACTAAATCCATTCCCTCTCACAGTTCATGAGTAAAAATATTCAATTCAATGGTGCCACCATGTATTTCGCTATTATTAAGTCAAATAATTAAAATTATAATGGTATACAAATGAAATCTAAATGCAAACTGTCATACTAATAAAAACCCAAACAGAGCTTAACTCGTTTCAACGATAGAAGAATTGGCATTTCTTGTACGTTTAAAAATGTTATTATTGTCACGTCCAAAGATTTTATATGAAGATTCTGCTTATGTCATTAATACATGAATTTTTTTTGATAAACTAAACCTTACGCCTCCTAGAGTGTGAAATTTAGTATACCATTGTGTCCAAACTTCAGGGTGCTTCTAACTTCAAATTCTATTTTCTGTTTGGTAGGAATAAAGCAAAATAGGATGAACAGACAAGCTTCATTCATTTGATAGAAATGAGGCAAGGAGGGAAGAGAAAAGAGAATAGATGAGTTATTCTTCTTCTTTGATAAATTTTTATCCCTCTAAATATCGAAGGAAGATATGAAAGAAGAAAGGTAATTATGCTATTATAGAAGTTTTTAATTACAAAAGTTATCCTCATAATTTTTCTTTCTTAGAGCACGTGTATCGGTTCCGTAATACACGCACCATTCAAGTTAGGAGTGCGATTCGAAAGCGAGACCTCAAAAACTTACCTCCCGAATCCCTACCAACACCGCTATGCCCCTGAAGGCTATCCTTATAATTAACACTCTACATTCCCTTCTCTCCTAATAAACAAAATAAAGAATGATTTCATTCTCTTCTCTTCCATCCAATCAAGCAAAAGAAATCATCCTCTTCTCTTCCATCCATTCAAGCAAAAGAGATCGAGTCAAACACAATTTCTTTCTTAAGAGTGTCACATTGATATCTTCTTCTCTTCCTTCGAGTCAATTTTTTTTTCCTTCCAAACATAACACTAGAGTAAACTAGTTAACGAAGCCCAATAGCTTGCATTATTGATTTATTAAAAAAAAATAGAAGAAAGAAAGAGACCATCATGTAGAAATCATAAAAATATATGCGGTGTTTTATTTTAGTAAATTTGTAGTGGAGCCTTTTTTCTTGTGTTTTAATAGCCAATTTTAATTTGAATCAAGCTACTCTAAACGAGAAGAGTAGCTAAAAGAAGAGACTCAAAAAAATATTAGCCCTTTAATTTATTGATGTGAAATTATTTTGACACCATTTAACTGAACTCAGAACGTCTCCAAGGATATAGCGACGTTGACAGTAATTTGAGAGGCAAGTCTTTGAAATTTTACTTTCTAACCACACTTTTGACTTAAAGTGTGTGTATATTGTGAATACACGTACTCTAAAAAAAAAAAATTCAAAACTAAATACAAAAATTATTACATGATCCAAGTTAATTACAACTCGACACACAAGCAAATATATCAACATTATCCGAAATTTATAACATTGAACATCAAGACCAAATACATATGGTTAGTTCCATCATCATCAGTAGAGGCTAGAGGCCTTCCCAAGCCACTCCATGAACAAGCAAGGACAGGAGCACCATGTTCTTTGACAGTACTCACCATTCTACCCATCTTCAATGACCACACATAAATCGATCCATCTACAGACCCTACAACAACAAAATTCTCATCAGGACTTACTCAACTCCAACTCCAATTCGAAGCCACTTTGTTGCCCTTAATCTTAAACTTCCCACAAACTTGCATTGTCCTCACATCAACCAGATTGTGCAAATTATCTCTTCCACTGCCCAACACGACGTTCCCACATCGAAATGGACAAATTGAAGTCACCGGTTGTGTGTGAAGCGCGATATGGCTGTCACAGTACCTCATGGAGTACCTTTCAGTTTTGCTGAATCTGATTCTTCCGTCGGAATGACCAGAGCAAAATTTGTTTTCATCCATGGTAAAACAAATGGCATTACAAGGACTACTAATATATGTTGAACATATAGGATGGTCTTCTTGGAGGTCCCAAAACATTATAGTATGGTCATTGTCACCACTGATTATGTATCGGTTAGATACCTCGTCAATGTCCACAGCACAAATATTATTAATTATTATCATTATAATATTATGAAGAAAATAAAACAATTTAATTCGCAAAACTAGAATAGCTTGGATCTTGGACTTTAAATGGGCTTTAAATTTGAATAAGAAATTTGAAACTAGAATTGTAGGGCTTAAACCCAATAAAGGGAGCCCTTCCAGAAATTCTCAATAGCCTGGGCCAAACCCAGGCCAAAGAGGGGGTTTGGAAATAGTTTTCAACCAGCAATTGACGCGCCTCGGTTAGTACCTCACTAGCTGCGTCATTGCCCCAAGCGCAAAGATACGTATTCCAAAGCCCAACCTCTGCTTTTATATTACAAGTCTCCTATCCCACTTTTTACAACTTTCCGATGTGGGATGCATAACTACCATTACCACTTAACTCTACAAAACCACAATATATATGTATGCATATATATATATATAGATGTATGCAAGGTCACTTTTTCCATTAATATTGCATTCAGTGAACATCACCCTGTTATGATTTAACTCATGGAGACAACACATTCTGTGAATATGGACTTGAGTTTCAGA